GTTTTTTTGATGTGGGTTACTGGAAGAAGGGTAGATATGATGGAGGAACATGCCGGCTGGTAGACACCCTAAGTGCTGAATTCTAGGGGAACGGATGAGTTGGAAGATACCCTGTGAGACTGGGTCTCTTCCCAGGGAGGCTGGTGAGAGAAAGCATGAGCATCCTCACTGATTGTGGGTGGATATGGCTGAATATTCTGCAAGCAGATTATTTAACATGACAATTTAGTTATGTTAATGCTTCACTTATATGGACATAGCTGAAAGTCAGAAAGGAAATAAAAATCTTTTGGGTAGTCAAAAAAGATGTTTCAGGGGTGCCTGACTGGCTCAGTTGGTCGAGCATACGACTCTTGACCTCAGGTTGTGAGTTCAAGCCCCATGTTGGGTGTAGAGCTTTCTTTCTTTTTTTTTATTTTTTTATTTTTTTAAGATTTTATTTATTTATTTGAGAGAGAGAGAATGAGAGACAGAGAGCACGAGAGGGGGAAGGGTCAGAGGGAGAAGCAGACCCCCTGCCGAGCAGGGAGCCCGATGCGGGACTCGATCCCGGGACTCCAGGATCATGACCTGAGCCGAAGGCAGTCGCTTAACCAACTGAGCCACCCAGGCGCCCGGGTGTAGAGCTTTCTTAAAAAAATAAAATAAAATAAAAGATACACTAAAAAAAAAAAGATGTTTCAGGGTTTGCATATTTTGTTTTTAGTACATTCTGTGGGCTCTCAGTTCAGCTCTATCCATTCTTCTTGTGCATGTAATTCTAAGATGCGTAGTCATCTGATTTCTGGCCAAACAGATAAAAAACAGTACTTCTTAGGAAGCCGGAAGATAAGGGCAGGCAAACAGACGACCCTAAGAGGAAACAGTTGACAACCTGTGTGAGCAATGCTAACTGCAAAAAATAAACATATACACAGTGGTACCTCCAGACCCTCTTGCTGCCCAGCCCGGCTCCAGCCTCACAATCTCCATATAGTCCACCAACGAAAGGGTTAACTCCTGGCAAAGCACGGGGCTTCCAGACCTTGCTACAGAACCAAGTATCACTTCTGTCCTGATTGGTCATGCTTTGGCCTTATCGATGTTAATAATTAGAATATCACTCAGGAACATCCAATGTATATTGCTTTAATAATTAAGCTAGCTAACTTTCCCCCCTCAGTATCTAAGAAATCCAAAAATAAAACAGTTAGGGATTGTTTCATGTAGGGAGAACAGTCTTATATAGTTATGGGCCCGTGGGCATTTAATATATGACAATGCAGGATAATTGATTTTCATATCAGTGAGCCTCAGTCATTAAGAAAAACTTAATTACATTAGCTCAATCTGTTTAAGAAAACAGGCATGAGGGGCGCCTGGGTGGCTCAGTCGGTTAAGCGTCTGCCTTCGGCTCAGGTCATGATCCTGGAGTCCCTGGATCGAGTCCCGCATCGGGCTCCCTGCTCGGCAGGGAGTCTGCTTCGTCCTCTGACCCTATCCCCTCTCATGTGTTTTCTCTCTCTCATTCTCTCTCTCTCAAATAAATAAATAAAATCTTTAAAAAAAAAAAAAAGAAAACAGGCATGAGTGTGATACATTTGAGAAATTAATTTTAACCCAAAAGAGACTGTGTGTTGGTACTTATATAGAATTGAGCCTTTAACCATCTAGAAAGTTCACTTGTCCAGAATGACTCATTCTTCAGAATTCCAGAGCTAGCACTCCTGAATGAAACAAAATGATGGCCCGTCTGTATTACCACAACCAGAATGTGCATATTCTTGGGTAGCCAGATCCGTTCTTCTATGCTAGTCTTTTTTTTTTTTTTTAAGATTTTATTTATTTATTTGAGAGAGAGAGTGAGCGAGCGAGAGAGAGCACAAGCCAGAGAAGAGACAGAGGGAGGGAGAAGCAGACTCCTCAGTGAGCAGGGAGCCTGATGCGGGGTCCTGGGATCATGATGCAAGGATCATGGGATCATAATGCAGGGTCCTGGGTCCTGGGATCCAGGGTTCTGGGATCATGACCCGAGCTAAAGGCAGATGCTTAACTGAATGAACCACCCAGGCGTCTTATGCAAACCTGATCATTGGCTCACCTGGGCTGACCTGACCACCCCTCCCTGCTCACCTGGGCTGATCATCCCTCCCTGCTCACCTGGGCTGACCACCCCTCCCTGCTCACTTGGGTTGATGGTGCTTCCCTGTTTGCCTAGGCTGACCACACATTCTTGCCTCTTCCTTTTCTTTGTCTCTGTGGGTCTTGTCATGGAGCTGTGGTGGCACTGAGGAAGAACAAAGCTCCCTTCTCATTTCTGACCTGATGTTATGATGAAATTGGCAACCTGACAGCTCGTCTCAGCCAGTCACTCAAGCCATAGGCCTAGAAAAACAGGCGTTTAGAATAAGACACAGCCTTGAACCGGAGATGTGGTCGGATGATGGCAAAAGTGAGTTCAGAATCAAACGCGATACCCCGAAGAAACAAATTAAAATGAAAGAAAAACCCGAACCAAAACAAGCAACGTGCTTTGCAAATACAAGAAGGAGGAAACTCATGTTCAAAGTTAATGGAAAATTTTATGGTTGAAGAAGACAGTGAGTTAGAAAGTGGGCAACGGAAGGGACCCTGCTTGACTCTGTCCACTATGTCCTTGGAATCTGCCGCCAAGGAGAGGGAGGGACCCTCTTTCTCCAGTAAGGCGCCCTCCTTAGCAGGTGGGTCCTGCCTGGTCTGATCACTTGGTTAACTCAATTACTCACTCTAACCCCCTCTTGTCCACATTGGCCAGCTGCACAGCTTCCCAGCACGCCCCGGCTCTTGCCTGAGCCAAGGATTCGGAGAAACCAGGGCAAGGCTACGGGTCTGATGGATGAGTATATTGCAGGATGGCTCCATGGTGAGGTGGCTAAGATTACAGACTCACATGCGCTTACTGTGAGGACTCTGTGGGGCAAGAAAAGGGCCGGGGCTCCCTGGGCATCCCCAAAGCACTAAGCGCAGGATGGGGGACCCGTGGGAAATGGAGTCATGGGTAGTAACAGACGCCCTCCAACTCCCTGGCAGGCAGCGGACACCTGCTCCTGGAGCCCTCCTTACTGTGAGCACGGGTCCTGTCTCCTCCCTCCCTCCTTCTGCAGGCCGTCCCGACCCCTCACTCAGGACCCCCCCCCCGCCTCCCCTGCTCGGGCTCTGCACCCCCAGCAGTCAGCAGGCCATGACCTTTCAGGCTCCCTCTGCGCTCCCTCTTTCCCTGAGTCCCACTTCAGATTCCCAAGAAAAATGCTCAGACGCCTCAGTTTGTGTTTCCCTGCCCTTTGAACGTCAGGGGTCCCTGGCCCATGGGAAGGTCCCTGGTGTCCTTGCTGTCCTCAGGAGAGGCAGGGTCTCACCCTGGGCCGGGGCCCAGCAGGCAGGGCATGACTCACTTTGCAAAGACAGGAGAGTGGGCTTCCAATTTCTGAAAATGTGGAAGAGAGTTCCAGGAGGGGAAGAATGAGCCCCTCATTTTTGTCTCTAGCTCCCTCACTAACAGGCTGGCTGATGATGGGAAGTTCCTTCCTTTCTTCATAAAGGGAGGGATCTGAACAGAGGATACAAGCCATTCGCCACGCACCCTTCCTATCGTGGAAGCCTACTCAAGGTGGGGAAACTGAGGCATAGAGCGGGTGAGGAACTTGCTCAGGGCCACACACAGCTCGTCAGTGGCAGAGCGGGGATCTGAACCCTGTCAGTCTGGCTTCCGAGGACCCTTGCTCTGGGCCAGGCTCCTTTGGCGTTGGCAAGTAGCGGGTCCCGCATCCCCGGGCTCCAGGGCTGAGCTCGGGTAGCAGGGGTCGCGTCAGCGCTGCTCTCCAGAACAGGACGGTCCTCCGTGTCTGGCCAGTGCCCCACGCGCCCTGTGAGGACGCTGCCTGCCCTGTGCCTTTGCCCTTTCGGAAGGGCATGGGAAATGCTGGCCTGTCAGCAGGTATAAACTCAAAAAGTTTCTCCCTCAGCTGGTTTCAAGGACTGTTTACCCAAGTAGACACAGGAGGATTAGGCACGCGGCTGACCCAACCCGTCTGGGTGTGACCAAGCGCCTGCAGCTGTCAGAACGAAGGCTTTCCGTGGAGAGACAGGATGCCCACGCTCCATGGCCCCGAGGCATGCCCTGGGACGTGGTTCCCGAGCTGGGGCTCCAGGGTCTACAGGCGATTCAAGAGTGAGGCTAAGGGGCACCTGGGTGGCTCAGTCGTTAAGCGTCTGCCTTCGGCTCGGGTCGTGATCCCAGGGTCCTGGGATCGAGCCCCGCATCGGGCTCCCTGCTCCGTGGGAAGCCTGCTTCTCCCTCTCCCATTCCCCCTGCTTGTGTTCCCTCTCTCGCTGTGTCTCTCTCTGTCAAATAAATAAATAAAATCTTAAAAAAAAAAAAAAAAAAGAGTGAGGCTAAGAACACAAGGGCCTCCAGGTGGGACTCTCAGGTCCGTGCCCAAGCCCAGGGGGCCAGGCCATCTCCCAGGACAGCCCAGGTCTGCAGGGGCAGCCCGTGTGGACTGCTGAGATGGGCAGGAAATAGCAAGCCAAATCCAGCTAGGGCTTCCAGGCCCCCAGGGACGGCCTCACCCACTCTCAGAGTCCCCGCTTGCTGGGAGCAAGGGCACAGGAAGTGTCATTGTCCCGGGAAATCTTCCCCATCCTGATTCTCTGCCTTGGGCCTTTGCCCTGTCCTGTCGCCACTCATCCACAAAGCGCGCACTGTGTGGTCCTTCAAGTGAGTTTTCATAAGGTAGGGCACAGAACAATCCAGACCGTGGGCGCAGGGCCCAAGGCGGTGACGCCAGTGGGGCTCGGACGAGTGCGCCACCCGGCCCCGCCACCCGAGTCACAAGGACCTTGTGGGAAGGTGTTATTGTTTTAGTGGGTGCAGCTGAGGGTGGGTCAGTCGGTGAGACTCGGTAAATTGTTGTTTACAGTTTCTGAGCTTTTAAAAGAAGAGTGCGGCCCGAGAATCGGCGTGATTCCAGACCCGCGGCACCATGAGGGCTTCGGCCCCGCTGCTGGCCCTGCTCCTGCTGGGGGCCCGGGCCCAGCACAGTTCCGAGTGGACCTACTCAGGTAAGCCCCCACCCCAGGGGCTGCGCCTTTCCTCGTTACCCTCACCCCTGCTGGGCCTGCCCTCCCTGCCTCCGGAGAGCGCACTGACCTCAGACCCCTGATCGGGACAAGGCGAGTCTGCTCTCCTTCCCCAGACCCCCGCTGCCCCAGCCGGGGTTTCTGCTTTAGAACCTTCTCTGGCCACGGTGCTGGCTGGGAGCCCACCTGCCGCCTCTGACTGCGAAGCCCTTTGCTTTCCCCGGCTCTGCAGGTGGAGGAGGAGGTTGCTAGAAAGGGCTTCCTGCCATCTCACAGAGGGTGTGTGGGTTTGTGAGAGCTTTCTTCTTGGAGAGTTCATGGTCTGAGGTTTACCCAGAACATCCCGACTTGCCGAGAACCCGGCGACTTTGCATGGCCCCTGGACTGCCGTCTCCCAGTGGCCATGATCCTGCTGAGGCCCAGAGCTGCACATCTGGACCCGAGTCACCCCTCCCACGGGGCGATGAAGAGAGCTCCTGCCCCTGCCCCCCTTTTCCTGCACTGCACCCAGGGATGGGGCTCTGGAGGACCCTCAGGGCAGCTGGCTGACCCACTCTCCACATGGCGCCCCCCAGCTTTGGACACCAGGGGAAGCATACATTCAGGGTGGATGGATGTCCTGTTAAGTCAAGGCAACAGAATTAGGGACATCATGGGAGGCTCAGAGAGTCCAGCGTCAGAGGGCAGGGGCCCCCAGCTCTGACCAAGCGCCCCGCTCTGGAGCAGAGGAGGCCATGTGCGGCCAGTGCCACGGAGGCCCTGGGCCTCTGCTTCGTGTGGCTTGTTGGTACTCGGGATGGTTCAGACGGGTAAGCGAGAGAGAGCGAATTCCAACAGTCAGGACTTGTCCTTTCCAGGCTCAGCCCAGCCTCTGAGACTGCGGGCCTTCTGGAAAGCCACAGGGCCCAGGGAACACTCGGGCGGGCGGGGGGTGGGGGTGGGGGCGGGCAGCTACTTCAAAGGCCTTTCAGGAATATTTGAGAAACCCACACCACTGCCATAGGGACACAGGCCAAAGCCTCTGGATCCATGCAGGGGGCTGTGCTCGGGGCCTCTGGCCTTGATCCTGGCATTCCACCTCTGGGAAAGAATTGTTTAAATATTGGTTTGTAGTATTAAATCAAGAAGAGCAGAGAAATAAAAAATTGACTTTTCTGTTGATTGCAAAACCAAGCAGCTGTGACGGGCCCCAATACAAACATCTTCCTTAAAACAAGCCATGCACTTGCCATGCAGCTACCCCCTAATGGGGGAGAGAGCTTGGGTCCTCCACTGCGAAGGGGTGGGCCTGTTAATACGACTAGCTTTCCTCCTTCTCTCCCTAGAATTATTGCCCACCTTAAAAAAGAGACATTTCCTTAATTTGATTTTTTTCAGCTAATCACTTTGGTCATCTTTGAACCTGATGCTTCCCTTTCTTGCCCTGAATCCACAGGTGAAGGCACCCAGGTGGTCTCTACCCTACTGGGACCCAATGAAAGGGCTGGAGCAAGTAAACAGGTTGGGGGGGGGGGTCCTGCAGTTGGGGAGGGGACTGCAAGATTGTTGGGGAAGGGGAAGAAAAACTGTGCCCTTAGGAGGAAACGGGGACAGGACCCCTGAGAGTAACACAGCAATGCCAAGCCCCAAGGAGCCTTCCAGTGCATTTATCAGCACATTCCCATTCCAGGGGAAAACTAAAGCTGTATATTAAAGACCTTCGTTGTTTTCCAAACGCCGACTGTTCTCGGCGACAGAGACAGCAACAGGGGAGTCTGGAATCCGTGTCAAAGCCCCTGAGACGCCAGCTTCCACAGAGCGGACTTTGACAGTGTCCTTCCCGCCTCCTTCTGGGGGTCAGGCTCTGTTTTCCAGAAGGCAGACCTCTGGCCTTGATCCTGGCCTCCCGCTGGGCAGACCCTGCTGAGAGCTAACTGCCCCCGAACTCTGACCCCCCCTTGGCTCTCTCCTGTCACAGAGGGGGCACTGGACGAAGCGCACTGGCCAAGGGAGTACCCCACCTGTGGGGGGACGAGACAGTCACCCATCGACCTGCAGAGGAGAAAGGTTCAGTACAACCCGTCGCTGAAGGCTCTGAACCTGTCAGGCTACGAGGTCCCGGCGGGCGAGTTCCCCATGGTCAACAACGGCCACACAGGTAAGGGGCAGGCGGCAGGACGCTGTCCACGGGCGCTCAGCAGTGGCGGCAGGTGCCGGGTAACAGAGGGGCATGCGGGGGACGCAGAGCGCAGGTTGGGAGCTGCAGGCCCCAGGCAGGCGGTGGCCTCCACCCCAAGCTGCGTGGGAGGGTCTCTGTCCTTGGCCTCAATTCCTGGCTGGCTACTTCCTTCTGCGCATTAACCTCTCCCCAGCTCAGTCTGACCCAGCCAGCATGCAATCCAGCTGACCGAGGCCCTGACCCGCCTGCCATCTGTGATCTGTGCCCTGCTCTGACTTTTCCATATTTTCTGTATTGAGTCTGATTGGCTCAAAATGCCTGACAGGCGGGCCCAGTATTTCTCAAAGGTTTTTTTTATTTATTTGTTTGACACAGAGAGGGAGCACAAGCAGGGGGAGGGGCAGGCAGAAGGGGAGGGGCAGGCAGAGGGAGAGGGAGAAGCAGGCTCCCCACTTGATCCCAGGATCCTGGGATTATGACCTGAACCGAAGTTCACTCAGACATTTAATCGACTGAGTTCTCAGCGCCCTCAAAGGTTTTGCAAAGAGGCTCTTGAGGTCTTGAATTAGGTCTTCTTCTAGGAAGGGGGTGGAGGCCAGATAGGAAAAGGCTGACCTGGGTCTTGGAGACCCCCCCGCCCTGCCTTTAGAAGTCTGGACTGGACAACTGGAAAATCCATGCTTTATGTTTACTGAACACACTTCTGAGTTTTCCAAGTGGGCCCATCTCCTCCGAGCTTCATGATACCTCCCACCCCTGGCAGGGGGCGTTGTTTAGGCTGGAGGCCAGGGGCCTCGGGAGGCTGAAGGACTTAAGGTCACACAGTCTCTGGTGGCTGAGCCGGACCCAGGCCCCTCCCCTCATGTCTGATTCCTCAACCACGTCCTCCTTGGACACCCCCCCACTTCCACCCGGGCTGGGCCGATTTACTGCCCACCCACAGAGGTGCATGGGGGTCATAGGACTTAGATCTCCCATGTGCACAAGTGAGAAGATAAAACCAGTTGCCCTTAATGGAGCTGGTGGACACAGGAGAGTGAAGATCTATAAAAGGCCTCAGGCACACGTGGCCTAGATCCCTGAACTCCACAAATAATTCATGAAAGCCTGATTTTATCATTAATGTCAAACTCCTGTTTCCAAAGTTGCTCCCTGAAGCCTCCAGCAGGTTGGCAGGTTGGAGCTTCCCCTGCTCTCCTTGCCCTCAAGGAAGAAGGGCCAAAGGTGGCAGCTGAAGGCAGGGGAGAAGCTTGGTTGACCCCACCAGGACAGGCAGCCAGAAGTATCGAAGGATTGAAAACCCCCACTGGTAACATGGGCTGTTTGTGTTGCATGTCTGCTTGGTAGGGTTTTGTGCTGGGGACCCAGGAGAGGGGAGGTGTTAGGAAGATCCCAGCTTCCCCGGGGAAGGCGGGGGGTGGGGGTGGGGGACGAAGCTTACAGCAGCTCCCTCCTCCCAGTCTGGAAAGGGCCCTGGACCTTCCTCTTATGGGCTGTACTGGGCTCTCTGAAGGCTGGAAGCCAAAGGTCCCCAATCTACCCTACATCATATCAAACATATTGGAATGCACTCAAACAGCTCCCATTACTTATATTTTTTTGATGTCAAGGATTTTGAAAGATTTTTAGAACTCTACAATTGGCTTTACATTGTCAGCAAGCTCCGAACTTTAAGAATTCTACTGAAGGAAAAAACACCACTACCTTAATCAACAAATTTTCAAATCTGATAACATTTTGGTGAATAAGTTTAACAATAAAGTTGATATGATATAAACATTTATTAATTTTTATTTTGCAGGGTTCTTTCTAGATCTTGGAACCTAAGATATAAATGTATATATGTATTTATATATACGTATTTTTAATTGACTTCATTTTTTAGGGCAGTTTTAGGTTCATAGCAAAATTAAGAGGAAAGTACAGAGATTTCTCATACACCCTCTGCCCCCACATACATTGTCCCCCCATTATCACTCACCAGAATGGTATGGTTTTTTAAAAAGATTTTATTTGTTTATTTATTTATTTAGCGAGTGAGCAGGGGGAGGGGCAGAGGGAGAGGGAGAACGAATCTCAAGCAGACTCTGTGCTGAGCAGGGAGCCCCACACACGGGGCTCCATCCTATGACCTGAACTGAAATCAAGAGCCAGTTGCTTAACCGACTGAGCCACCCAGGCGCCCCCAGGATAGTACATTTTTTTATTTTTTTTTACCACGGATGAACCTACCTTGACACAACAAAATCACCAAAAGTCCAGAGTTTGCCTTAAGGGTTGCTCTATGTATTCTATGGGTTTGAGCAAATGTAGAATGACACTATTCATCATTACAGTATCATACGGAGTATTTTCACGGTCTTAATTATCCCCTGTGCTCCGCCTGTTCATCTCTCCCCCCACTGCCATCCCGGCAGCCACTGATCCTTCTACTGTCTCCATAGTTTTGACTTTTCCAGAATGTCACAGAGTTGGAATCATACAGCATGTAGCCTTTTCAGATTGGCTTCTTTCACTTAGTAACGCACTTAGGGTTCCTCCATGTCCTTTCATGGCTTGATAGCGCATTTCTTTTTAGCATTGAATAATATTCCATTGTCTGGATAGCCCACAGTTTATCCATTCACCTACTGAATGGCATCTTGGCTGCTTTCAAGTTCATAATTCAGCAATTATGAATAAAGCTGTCATAGACATCCAGGTGCAGAATTTTGTGTGGACGTAAGTTTTCAGCTCCATTGGGTAAAGACCAAGGAGCATGATTACTGAGCTGCATTTGGTGTTGTCCGTGTTCTGGATTTTGGCCATTCTGATAGGTATGCTGTGCTATCTCACTATTGTTGATTTGCATTTCCCTGATGACATACAATGTGGAGTCTCTTTTCACATGCTTATTTGCCATCTGTATATCTTTGGTGAGGCATCTGCTAAGGTCTCTGGCCCATTTTTTAATTAGGTTGGTTGTTTTCTTATTGTTGAGTGTTAAAGGGTTCTTTGTATATTTTTGCTAGGAGTCCTTTATCAGGTGTGTCTTTTGCAAATATTTTCTCCTAGCCTGAGTTTTACCTTCAAAGTCTCCTCATAGTGTCTTCTACAGAATAGAAGTTTTTATTTATTTTTTTAAAGATTTTATTTATTTGAGAGAGGGAGAGAGCACAAGCAGGTGGAGGGGCAGAGGGAGAGGGAGAAGCAGACGCCCCGCTGAGCTGGGAGCCCGGCGCGGAGCTCGATCCCAGGACCCTGAGATCACAACCTGAGCCGAAGGCAGATGCTTAACCAACCGAACCACCCAGGCGCCCCTTACAGAATAGAAGTTTTTAATTGCAATGGAGTCTAGCTCGTCAATTACTTATCTCATGGATACTGTATTTGGTGTTATGTCTAAAAAGGCATCACCACGCTCATGGTCATCTAGGTTTTCTCCTATGTTCTATTCTAGGAATTTTATAGTTTTGCATTTTACATTTAGGTCTGTGGTGCATTTTGAGTTAATTTTGGTGACGGGTGTGAGGTCTGTGTCTAGACTGGTTTCTTTCCACGTGGATGTCCAGTTGTTCCAGCGCCATTTGGTGAAGACTCCATTGTAGTGTCTTTGTTCCTTTGCTAGAGATCAGTTGAGTATATTTATGTGGGTCTATTTCTGGGCTCTCTGTTCGGTTCCATTGACCTATTTATCTCTTCTTTTGCTGATACTACATTGTATTGATTATTGTCACTTAATAGTAAGTCTTCAGGCCAGGTAGTGCCAGTCCTCCAGCTTTGTTCTTTTCAATATTGTGTTGGCTATTCTGGGTCTTTTGCTGCTCCATATAAACTTCAGAACCAGTTTGTTGATATCCACAAAATAACTTGCTGGAATTTTGCTTGCATTGACTCTATAGACCCCCTCTCGTGCTCTCTGTCTCTCATTCTCTCAAATAAATAAATAAAATCTTTTAAAAAAAAATTCTACTTTATGTTTACATTTTTAGGCACCCATTTTCTATTATTAGATCCAACAGATATAAAATTATATTTCAGTAAAAAGAAATTGAAAACATAGTTTGGTATTGAGACAAACTTAAATTGCTACCAAGGTTTCCAAAACTTCTTCTCAATTTCCCTATTTAGGTGTGGACTAGTAACAGTGGGTGGACCAGTACTCATTGATTAATATATGTATTTTTTATCCCCCACAATATATATTCATAGGCTCCAGAAAAGCTTACAGGCCTGAGACATTGGCCTCTACAGGTCGGTGGGAGAAACAACACTGTTCTCTTAGTAGGTACTATTAGCTAGTCCATTTCTTAGGCTCCTTGAAAGGATCTCTCATTCACCCTTCTATCTCCGTACCTGGCACAGAGCCAGACATGGGTCAGATGCACTTACGTGTGAGAGGATAAATCCCCAAGTAGATGCCCATGAGTGATGTAGGCTTCTCAGCAGGTTTCCATCTCTGAAGGCTGAGGGAGCAAGGCTGGTTTTGTCTTTAATAAACAAGAACAAACAAAAACAAAAACAAAACAAAAAACCACTTTCATTTTGAAATAGTTTTAGACTAGAAAAACAGCAAAAATAGTACAGAGTTCCCACATACCCTTCTCCCACTTCTAATATTAACATCCTATAACTTTACTACCTTGATAATACAACACGATCGACTACTTCACAGACCCATGTGAATTTCATCACGTTCCCACAGATGTCCTCTCTGTGGACCTCATCCGGGATCCCACAATCCATGGAGCTCTCCCATCTCCTTAGTCTCCTCCAACCGCGGTCAGTTCCTCCATGGTTCTTTGACCCTCACGACCTTGACGCTTCGCTGTCATTTTCTCGGGCACAGAAAATGCTTAAATCACGTGGTTCTTCTGGCTTGAAAAGAGCTTGAAGAACTTAGTTTCAAACAAAGAGGAGCACCTTCTGCTAACAGTTAAATCAATGTTCAGAATCTGGGAGGCTCAGCAAGTTCACCTTTGGGGACAGGTATTTGGCTTCACCTTTCCAAAGGCACGGTAACATGCTCTGAAGTAACATGCTGCCATTTTTCAATCCAGCCCGTGCAATCCTGTCGATAAAACTTGAGGGACAAAACACTCTGTCTGCAGGGAATTATATTTGGGGGAAACATCCCCGTCAGGAGTTTTGTCATTGCGCACGTGGGGCTAACTGTCCAATTAGAAAGTTCTGGTCTGGTGTTCTGCTTTCCAATCTCTTGGCAGAGATGACTCGGCATATCTTCTTTTAAAGGCTTTTCCATTTTTTTTTTTTCCTATGAACATTGATTTGGAGGCTGGCTGCATTTTAAGCACTAAATAAATACAAAGCTCTGCCAAAGAACATGTTAAACTCTTTGGGGTCAGATTCCTATTTTATAAGCATATGAACTTAATCACAGCTCGCTGCTGCTTTTGACAAATTGGAAGGGAAGAAGGGGACATTATGGATAGATATCAAATCCCTAACACTAACTCTTTAAGAAAGCCTGCTTGTTTATAATCCTCTTTGATGACTTTAAATAGAAAGACCTGGCTAACAGCATAGATGCTGCTTGTCCCTGTCCCAGTCCTAAATTATGTACATCCTCATAGATCTTTTTCTTCATCACTCTCTGCTGTCACCCTCCTGTGTCTCCCTTTGGCCTGGCTCATTCCAAAACTTAGCGGTGTCTCTGAGGCCTGAGCCAGTGAAGGGAACAACTGTAGCTAGGTGACCAGAGTGACCTCCCTGGGGCCAATCTGTAGGGCACAGGGCAGGAGGAGGAAGTGGGATGAGTGGTCCATTTTCCCGTCGGCAAGAACTTAACACTTGAACGCATCCACTGATAAGAATGTCAAGTTAAACCCCAGGCCAGGGGTTTGTGCGTTTCCCAATTTGCTGTAGAATTTGGTCTCTAGTCTTCTGAAGACAGGTGGAGGCCTGTAATACAGGTGACATCCTATCCCGGCCACACACCGCTCTTGGCCTGGTCTGACCCCCCCCCCCCCCACCTCTGCGCCTCTGAGCAATCTTTCCACCTTCCCAGGTTGGCTTCCTTGTCCAGAAAATAAAAGCACTGAAGCCTGCAGGGATGCTCCCTTTTATGGAATGGAGTTGGCTGTTCGTTGGGCTATTTCTTTTATTTATTTATTGTTTTTTTAAAAAGATTTTATTTATTTATTTGAGAGAGAGAGAGAGAGAAAGCATGTGGGGGGGGGGCCGAGGGAGAAGCAGGCTCCACGCTGAGCAGGGAGCTCAGTTGGGCTATTTCTGAAAGGCTACCCAGGATGACTGTATTAAACACCTCAACTTGGCCTCATAAACAGTACTCTGGGAGTAAAAGTCATCAAACTAGTCCCAAGAGGTCCCCAACCCCTTCCTATTCCTATGCTGTGGGCAAATTACAAAATTGGCCAGAAGTGGAGAGTGCAATTCTGGGGCACACCCACTGGCCATATTTTTTATGGCACCCTCCTTCCCTAGGGCTGACAAGCTGGCCCTGCCACTCCGTGGTCCTGTCCCAGACCTCCGGTTCTGGGTAGGAGGGCGTGTGCCCTGACATGGGTGCCTGCCCAGCCCGGCTCTCCCATCCTGTCCTGTGTGCCAGTCACATCCTCCCCATGGGCGACCCTGCTTATGGTGTTCTAAGCCAGTGTAGTCCTGGCTTGCACCAGAAGTGGGCAGGGGAGCAGGGGAGCTGCCTGGCCGGTAGACCTGACCCAGCCATACCCATCGGCCCCACTTGCAGCCCTCGCTCATTTTCTCTCCCAGTGCAGATCAGCCTGCCCCCGAGCATGCGCATGACGGCCAGCGATGGCACCCAGTACATAGCGGAGCAGCTGCACTTCCACTGGGGTGGCGCGTCCTCCGAGATCAGTGGCTCCGAGCATACCATCGACGGGATCAGATTTGTGGCTGAGGTACTTTGAGGACCCCGGCCAGGTCCTCTTTCCTCTTTCAAGTCTCACAGTCACTTTCCTTATGAAAACAGCCACAGAGACTGCATGATGACAGTCAAGTCACCCTAAGGTTGTTTTTTTTTTTTCATTCATTCACAACTATTTATTGATCCCTGCTATGTGCCAGGGGTTCAAGCAGGGTCCCCGCTCTCACAAAATGCACAGCAAGGCAGGAGTTTACAGCCCATAGAATGGGGCAAGCCCTCTTTGATTTCAGCTGAATTTCTATGTGTTAGATTTTCAGGGTTCTCTCTCTTGCATAGATCTGTCCTCAGGATGACCATGGTTTACAGTGTCCTCCAGAGCAAGGTGACTCATGCCCACTCTGGGAGACCCCAGGAGAACCCAGTGGCCTCATCTGAGCCCTCCGGACACTGCCAGATATTCTGCCTGGAGGGAGGTGGGGTCAGGGAAATGCCTTTGAATTGCCATCTCCCCAGAATCCCACTCATGCTCTTTCCATTCTTAGAGGACTTTCTGGTCTTGATAGATCTCATACCCAGAAAGAAAGAGGTCGGAGTTGTTTAGGAGGGACAGCATCTTTCTTTTCATTCTTCCCTGGGAACCTGAAGCATTTGAAGTCTGTATGGACTGCCCTTGACTTACTCTTTCTTGCTCCCACAGATTCACATCGTTCACTACAATTCTAAATACAAGAGCTACGATATAGCCCAGAGTGAACCGGATGGTTTGGCTGTGCTCGCAGCCCTTGTTGAGGTAGGCTGAAACAACACATGTGAAGTCATAGATTGGTGTCCAAAGTATCAAGTGTAGACAAAGGGTCTTCCTCCCTGTCCCTCCTCATCTGTGTCTGAGCTCACCGTTCTTGAAAAAACTCTGACTCAGTGAAGCCCTTGCTCCCAGTCACTGGGTTCCTTCTGTGTCACCAATCTTGGAGACCTTGGATAAGTATGACAACTGACTTAAAAGAGCTAGGATCACAGCATGGTTGACCAAACATAAACCAGCCTGAGGGCAAGGGGAAGCCAGATAAAGTGAACACCTCTGCTCTTCTCAGAAAGTCTGGAGGGCAGGACTTGTGGCTAGGTGGCAAGAAGTGGTCAATGAACTCAGTTTCCCCCAAACAAGCATTAAGTTGGATAAAATGGCCAAAAACCACTATATCCCTACTCTGGAAATGGACTAAAGGCAAACAACGCATTGAGGCATTTATTTATGAAAAGTGACTAGAATTTTGAGTAAGAACAATGGGGCTATTCCTATCCCCACTCCCTAGCTTGGTCAGCAAGGTAGTTTTACTGGGGCAGGCTGGACAGGAGAACGAGCAGCCTCACTGCCTGGGGGCAGGCAACTCACTTGATTTGGAGTGTGAGTTGAAAACTCATGCCCCAGGCTCTAACAGTAAAAGTAGTGGAAAGCAAAAGCTGAGGCTGACCTGATAACTGGCTGATCTCTGAATGTGCTTCTCAACTCACACACAAATCCATCAGCAGAGGGTGTGAATCTGATGGGCTTGAGGGGTTTGAACAACAACTTCTGCTAAAATCATTGACCGACCACAAAGCTATACTGACCCTAGGCAGTTCCTAGAGGGCTCTAGGAATCCAGGCTAAAAATAAGATTTAAGAACAGAGTGGAGACATCAGCTGGTGTACATGGCCAGGGAGACACATCCTGCAGATGAAGGCCAAGCAAATTATTAAACAGATACACAAACAAACAAACAAATTATCAGGACAATTTTAAAAAATCAGAGTTCATATTTACTGTCATATATTATTTAAATGTCCAGTTTCCAAAAAAAAAAAAAGTTGGGCATGCAAAGAAATAGGAAAATATGATCCATATTTAGGAGAAAAAATGTAGTCAACAGATAATGACTCTGAGTGGACTCAGTGATTAGCAGACAGGATTTTCAAACAACCATCATAAACGGGTTCAAGGAACTAAAATAAACTGTGTTCAAAGAATTAAAGGAAAGTATAATGACAATGACTAAAAAAAGGGAAATCTCAATAGAGAAACAGAAATGATAAAAATGCACCAAATGGAAAGTCTAGAGTTGAAGAGTTGAAAAATCATGACATGGTCTCAAAGCAGATATGAGGCAGCAGAAGAAGGAGTCAGTACTTTTGGAGAGAGATGAAAGAAATTATTCAATCTGAGGAACAAAGGAAAAAGATTGACGAAAAATAAACAAAGCCTTAGAGATTCACGGGAACAAGATCACACGGCCCAACATATACCTAATGGGAGTCTTGGAGAGGAAAAAAAGAAAGTGATAGAAAAAATATTGAAGAAACAGTGACCCCAAATTCCCCAAATGTGATGAAAAAAAAAAATTTACTAAACCAGGAAACTGAACAAAGCCCATGTCTGATCAGAGTCAAAGTCAAACTGTTGAAATCAACAAGAGAAAAAGGATTTTTTTTATAAATAGGGGACTGACAGTACAACTAATAGCCAACTTCTCATTAGAAACAAGTCATCGGAAGTCGGTGAAAAGACAGTCAGCCAGGAATCCTAATCCAACTAAACACCCTTCAACAATAAGGCGAAACAAAGGCATTCCCAGATAAAGAAAAACTGAGATAATTGCTAACAGATCTGTCTTGCAAGAAATATTACAGAAAATCCTTCTGGCTGAGAGGCAATGACAACAGACAGTAACTCAAATCCACAGAAAGAAATGAAGAATGCTGGAAATGGTAACTACAAAAGACTATGTACATATATTTTTGTCTTGTCTTTAAAAATTTTCTTTTAAAAAACCCATAGGATTGTTGAAAGCAATCATTATACCACTTATTGTTGGGTTTACGATATAGGCAGATGTAATGTCGATGACAAAAGTGGGAAAAAATAGAAATAGAGCTAGCTTGGAGCTAAGTTGCTATATTTTATGGGAATGAAGTTAGTATTAACCTGACGTAGGTTGTGATAAGTTGTAGATTGAACAGTAGTCCCCCCTTATCCGTGGTTTAACTTGGTTTTAGTTACCCTTGGTCAAGTGCAGCCCAGAAGCAGACGTTCCTTCTAGTGACGTATTCCAGGAGCCTAATGCTAGGTCACAGCGCCTACATCATTCACCTCCTTGCATAGGCATCACCTATCATTACGCGTCATCACAAGAAGAGTGAGTGCAGTACAATAAGATATTTTGAGAGAGAGAGACCACGTTCACATAACTTTTATTTCAGTATATTGTTATAATTGTTCTATTTGATTATTAGTTATTGTTGTTAGTCTCTTACTGCATCTAATTCATACACTGAACTTTATCACAGGTATGTATAGGAAAAAATGTGGTATTATATCTGGTTTGGTGTTACCTGTGGTTTCAGGCATCCCCTGGGGGTCCTGGAATGCCTTCCGTTCAGATAAGGGGGGACAGCTATAACCAGTAGAGCAACTACTAATAATTAAAAATGACTAAATGGGGGACACCTGGGCGGCTCAGTTGTTAAGCGTCTGCCTTCGGCTCAGGTCATGATCTCAGAGTCCTGGGATCGAGTCCCACATCGGGCTCCCTGCTCCTCGGGAAGCCTGCTTCTCCCTCTCCCGCTCCCCCTACTTGTGTTCCCTCTCTCGCTGTCTCTCTGTCAAATAAATTAGTAAAATCTAGGAAAAAAATGGCTAAATGGTACATGGAAAGTATTGGTTTCACACAGAAGGTGGAACAGAACAAAAATCCACGAGGCACCTAGCCAAACAAATAGCGAGCGACAGTCATAGATCCAAGAAATCGGAATTCATACACAGCGGAAAAAGAACTGGATCAATACCACTCACTGAAAAGAACCATTGAAAATTCACCTTTTTCCACCAAAAGCAATTTTTCTGACTTCTAAAGAGTCAACACTTACACAAAACAACGGTGACCCAACTGAGGGCAGAATTGGAGCAGTTTTGCCTTGGACAGAGGGTGTCCCCAGCTCAGTCACGAGTCCTGAGGATGAGGAAGGGGGCACATGAGACCAAGCCCCCCTGCCTGAGGTGAACCCTGCCCAGAGTCCCTGGGGGGTATGGTGACAGTGACTTTGGGCCAGGCCCTGAGGGCCTCGCCGGTCACCGCCGAGAAAGCTCTTTCCCTGGAAGCTGTAAAATGCTTCCGTCCTGTCTCCCTGGAAGAGACTAGTGAGGCCAGGCAGTTGGTGGCAAAGAACAGCCAGACGATCTCTCCCCACACAACGGCGGGGGGAGGGATGTGGACGGGCTGCCTCCTCCCTGGCCCCCAGGCTCTGCCCAGGCAGCAGGGACACCAAACAGCTGGGTTACCAGACGGAGGTCCCTTTTCCATTCGATGCACCGCTCTGTGTTTCTCCTCCAGGTCACGGATTTCGGTGAAAACACTTACTACAGCAACTTCATTGCTCACTTGAACAACATCCGGTATCCAGGTGAGGAAAGGCCACAGCAGCGGCAGGGGGGCCGGGACGGGGGACGGGGGCAGACAGGGTGGCACACAGGCCCCGTCAGGGGAGCGCCCCCTCCCCGCACCAGGGCTCTCGTCACAGCAATTCCTGCTGTCGGCTCAGGCTGCGAACACCCCCAAGAAACGAGAAACGTGTTCACAAACCCACCTGCTGATTCCCACAGCTGGAAGCCGGGGCACCACGGATGGGGGTATCTTCGCTTCACCTCTGGCTCCAGCGAGTAGGGATGACTGTGGGCACTAGAGAGAGAGAGAGAGAGAGAGAGAGATGCCCTCCTTAGCTTCAGGCTCAGAAAAAGCCCCTCATCATCATGCCTGGACAGGGCTGGTCTCCCTTTCCCCTGCCTCCAGAAGGCAGAATTCTTGTCTGAGAGGCCACCTACCCCTATAGCCTGTGACCCGAGCAACAGCCACATCAGCTTTGACACCTTGGCTTTGTGCTTCTGACTTTGGCCCCCTCGCCCAGACTCCAGCTCCCTGACTTCAGGTCCCGCCCCCCCAGGGGGTCCCTTGACCTCTGACCCATGGGCCTTCTGTTCTCACCAGTGCATGAGTGGGGGTGGGGGGTGGGGGGAGAGGCAGGAGGAGAAGCAGGGGGAGGAGCAGACTCCCTTCTGAGCGTGGAGCCTGATGACGTGTGGCTCCATGCCAGGACCCTGGGATCATGACCTGAGCCAAAGGCAGATGCTTAACCCACTGAGCCATCCAGACGCCCCCAACGGCTGTTATTTTTATTCATAGCTACAAATATGAGCATGTATTAACACTGCCTGGAAATCCTAAACTACTCATATGGGCCTTTGCTTTTCCCTTCTCCAGAATGCTTATTTCACATTTTCTCCCCTCCCTCGAAGCCCCTCTGCCCCGGCCCCAGCCTCCCCCTTGGAGCAGATCAGATGCCTTGTTCCCGCTTCATCGAGAAGACGGTTAGACGCTTACTCATCTTCTTAACCCATGGGCACCTGCCTAGCCCTATGTCCCCTCCTCTATTACAGTGGATGAGAGTCTCTGCTCCCGACCAAGACCCCAAGACTGGCCCTCCACACGCGCGCCCGCCGCCCCTCCCTCTTAGGGTCCTTCCACCTGCTCGCCTCTCTCCTGTCCCGCAGCGCCGATTCCTTACTGTTATCTGTCATCCTGCTCAGCACACAAATCTGTGCTCTAACACCTCCCGGTTCAAAACACAAGCAAACACGAGTGTCTTTTGACCCAGCCACTCCCTCACCATCCTCCCAGCTCCTATTCTGTTCTGTTTTCTCACTTGCCCTCGGCTGGCCCCGGCAGGCCACCATCCCTTTAAAGTCACCTCTGTTAGACTGTCCGGTCCCTTCTCTTTTCTCTTAATTGACCTGAAAACAATGATCCATCGCACCTGGCTCTCGTTCTGGCCACACTCCGGCTCACCCCCAGCTCCGCTCTCTTTCTGCCCCTGCTCTGATGGTGGGGGGCACCGGCCCTGCCTTCCCCGGGGGCCTCATTCAGTCCCAGGGCCTCGATTGCCCTCTAGGGGCTGTGGACTCCAAAAATCCGTGTCTGGTCCTCCATGCCGTGACAGTATCAGATGGGACAGGGGAGGCAAAGCAGATGCAAAAACCAGCCGGCTCTTCTACGGACCATTAGCAAGGCCAGCAGGAGAAACCACAGGCCTGTGGTCTAACTGAGGCGTTGCCTTGAATGCACGGACCTCAGATATTCTGTTTCTACGAACTAACCCAGATCCGTTTCCTTTTCCAATTCAATAAATTGTGCTTCTGATCAATACTGCCCAAAGCACTGGCCTCCCTCTCAACTCTGGATTCCTCTGTCCAACAGCTTGCTTGATATTGCCCTCTGAATCTAAAACTTAACACGGCCCAAACCTAACTGGGTTCCCTACCACCCACCCCCAGGCTTGTCCCTAAACCGACTTCCTCATCTCAGCAAAGAGCATCATAATCCATCCCATTGTTTAAGCCCCAAATCCCAGAATCACTCTTTTTTTTTTAACTTTTTTTTTTTATAAATTTTTTTTTTTAAGATTTTATTTATTTATTTGAGAGAGAGAGAATGAGAGACAGAGAGCATGAGAGGGAGGAGGGTCAGAGGGAGAAGCAGACTCCCTGCCGAGCAGGGAGCCCGATGTGGGACTCGATCCTGGGACTCCAGGATCATGACCTGAGCCGAAGGCAGTTGCTTAACCAACTGAGCCACCCAGGCGCCCCTTTTTTTTAACTTTTTTAAAAAAAATTCTGTTTAAGGGGCGCCTGGGTAGCTCATGACCTTCAGCTCAGGTCATGGTCCTAGGGTCCTGGGATCGAGCCCCGCGTTGGGCTCCCTGCTCGGTGGGAAGCCTGCTTCTCCCTCTCTCACTCCCCCTTCTTGTGTTCCCTCTCTCCCTATGTCTCTCTCTGTCAAATAAATAAATAAGATCTTTAAAAAAAAATTATTTTTAAGTAGGCTCCACCCGCAATGTGGGGCTTAAACCCATGACATCAAGAGTTGCATGCTCTACAAACTGAGCCAGCCAGGCACCCCTCCCAGAATCAGTCTTGATTTTCCTCTTTCCGTTATCTCTCACGTCCAAACCATCAGCAGGTCTTACTGTTTTCACCTCCCTGCTTTCAATCCTCTTGTGTATAAGCTGAGAAGTAGAATTGCTGAATCATATGGTTAAGTCTATGTTTAATTTTTAAAGTTAAAAATCATATCATTTTCCATAGCGGCTGCACCATGGTTCTGGAATTCTTGACTCACTTAAATATATTAGTGATGAAACTATGCGCTAGAGCCTTTAGAAGGTTGTATCTTGAAGCCTTTCCAATAACATTAAAATTTAGAATTCTTTTTGCCTACTCATGGGATTATGCACCACCAGACTCTGATGCCTTGGTTTAGCAAGCCTATTTACGTCTATGTAAAAATCATAACCTCTTTGCCATTAAAAAAGATGCAAAGTGCTCAGGGAAAGTGAAGCAAAATTCAGCTCAACTCCACGTTCCTTCGATGGTGTCATGCTGAGCTCAGGGGCTCGGAGTCATGACAGGAACGGAAGAGGGATTCTCTAGATGCACTGATGGGTACCAGTGGCTGGGAGTCTCCGGACACCCTGCCGAAGCGCCTCTCCCCACACCCCACCTGTGGCTGAGCTTGGTTCCCTGGGGGCGTGGCAGAAGGAGCTCAGGGCGGGGTGCCTGCACCCCCACTTGGTTCTGAGTCTGCCTTTCTAATCTCTATCCACCCATTTCTTTCTTTCTTTCTTTTTTTTTTTTTTACAGATTTTGTTTATTCACTTGAGAGAGAGAGAGAGCACAAGAGGGGGGTGGGGCAGAGGGAGAAGCAGACTCTCCGCTGAGCAGGGAGCCTGATGCGGGACTCGATCCCAGGACCCTGGGATTATGACCTGAGCCGAAGGCAGACTTTTAACCAACTGAGCCACCCTGGCACCCCTCTATCCACCCATTTCTAAGTAAGCCCAAACCAAGGAATTTTGTTCTTTCTTGGAGAGTTCTTACCCAGGAGCCCCTAGCAGTCATAATTCTTTTCTTTCATTTATCATAAAGCGTATTCTCTGCCAACAGTTGTGATGAGAGTTAGGCTCATGAGTACTTTCCTACGTTCAAGTTCAATGGCCAGACTTTATAAGCACACCCCCTCCCCCTTTATCCTCATAGCAATCCTATTGAATATTCCCTTGTCACAGATGAGGGAGCAGCCTTTGAGGAGTGAGCACCTGACCAGTGCCACGCGGCTAGGAGGAAGTATCTGAGTGGGTCTCTCCCCAAAGTCTTTGCTCTTACCCCCTTCTAGGAAGCAGCAGACTGGGGAAATGTTTCTAATGATCAGCTTCTATGTTCTGGTGAATCAGGAGATTCAAACATGGAGAGGTCTGAGCCTGAGCTGTCCTCCCAAGGGACATCGGTGGCCCCTCACCTTCCTTTATCTTTTGTCCTCTCTGTTAGGACAAAGCATGGTTCTGAGTGTCCTTGACATTCTGGACATGCTCCCCGAGAACGTCCACCACTACTACAGCTATAGAGGGTCACTCACCACTCCTCCCTGTACTGAGAACGTCCACTGGTTTGTGCTGGTCCGTCATGTCCCGCTCTCCAGCGCACAGGTAAGGCATGGCATCACCTCCCAGTCTCCCCTTCTGACTGCCTGGCTGACAAGAGTGCTCCCCTACATCTCACCTCATGCCAACACCTGGCTCCTAGGGCGCCTTCATGCCCGGGGCTACTGTGCCTCCCCTCTGTTGCCATGGATGATCTTACTAGCCCTCTGGCAGAGATGAGCAAGTTGAGGCATCAGGGAATCCAAGGAACCCTGAGACCTTGGATGCAGCAAAAGGACTGGGACCTGACCTCAGAGCTGCATGGTGAAGGCAATATTTACTGAGCGGATGCTCCCACCAGGTACTGTTCTAGGCCCTTGATGGACAGAACCCCCGTCCTCACGGAGCTTACATTCTAACTTCATAAATGGCTTTAGGCAAGGACATATTGACATATTGACATCGTTAGCTCTTTACCATGCTAACACTCCTGTAGCCCTTTGAGGAGAAGAGCTGTATCCGCTACCTTTTGTTCCCCAGCATAGCACGGTGCATAATAAATATTTGTTGCGTTAATGAAAGGACAAATGTAACTGAGGTCACAGAGGCAAAGCTACATTTCCTTCTGGGTGATGTTCTTCCTCAGGAACAAATAGATCTTTTTCTTAAACTTTTCACTTCCCCAATGCAGGAAAAGGTGGAAAGACCCCTATTCAAGGATACCCACACACAAATCTGTTTGCTTCTTTTCCTCCTTTCTACTGGTGATCAAATATTCATAGGAAACAATTAAAAGAGATGGTTGGAAGAATGGATGGATGGTTGGAAGAATGGATGGATGGAAGGAAGGATGGATGGATGCATGGATGGAAGGATGGATGATGCATGGATGGAAGGATGGATGGATGGAGGGATGGAAGGATGGATGCTCTGCCTGCCATGTAGCAGAACTTGAGATCTTCTCATACCTGCTTTATCAGGGTTATAGAAGTAAACCCAAGCTCTAGTTCAGTGGCTAATTATGCTCCTTTAAACCACCCAGTACCTCTTCCCCTCCATAATTCACTTCATGTGGCCTGTAGATTTGGAAGCTAGAGAATTCCGTAGTGGATCACCAGAACAAGACCCTCCACAATGACTACCGGAGGACCCAGCCCCTGAACAATAGAGTGGTGGAAACCAACCTCATCAATCTCCCTAACCAGGGTAAGATCAACTCTTGTTTATCCTTTGCAGTTTTTTGAGTCCTGTTTTCTTCTTTCCCTGGGTGGACGCATCTCTTTTGGCAATAGTAGGGAAGGGAGAGTCATCTAAAGGGCAGGAGGCTTGGATGGGCCAATCTGTACAGGGCATGTGTGGGCAGAGGAGATGGCTCATCTTCCCAATCCAGGCAGTGATGCCAGTGGGTAGAGCAGAGACCACAAGGATGGACAGTTACATGATTTATTTCCTACTTAGTCTTGGCCAGAGACAGTAGGAGAAGCAAGATGCTCAGCAACATCCTGATGCTCCCGTAAGAGTATAGGCTCAAGGTAAGCTTATTAAACACAACTCAAAATTATTTCCCTCACACCTTTATCTTGCTCTGTTCCCAAGCCCATCCCCAACTCCCACACATTCCCTCAAGGTGGGGTTTGCTAGAGCATGTATTGTTTACTACATTTTCTTGGGGACCATGCCCCAGATACCAGGGTGCTGGAAGTAGGCATGACCAGTCCAGCCTCCCTGGGACCCTCTAACTCACTGGGTCAGGCTTCTTGGCTCACCTTATTGCTGTGGTTGCAAGATGCAATTATTCTGCAATTTTCCCATCTTTATTTTGTCTGTTTCTCTGTAAAATTGTGGTGATCTGTACACATTCCCTGAATTCATTGTCTTTACAGTCTATTTCTCCTAACCATTCCTGAAACCTTTACATCCTCTAATACAATAGAATTGGTCTCCAATCAATACTGCCCACTCAATATTACCCCAACTAATTTTTTTTACCCCAAATGATTGTATGTACTTTTCAAAACTTTTAAATATCCAGACATGCCCTCCCCTTCCCTCCTCATCAGTAAAGGCCCATTTGTGATTTTCTCCCGATCTTTCCTTCCTGGTTCATTGATTGTTTTCCCTTGCATTTGTTTGCTTCTCCAACAATACTAACAGAGGAAAAAGGACACCAGTTATAATGATCATTTCCTCATATTACACTATATACGATATTAACAGTGCCCATTCCTTTTCCAAAGGGTGACATCCTGCTAAGAAGATCCAAATGCTAGCAGCCTAGCCAAAGGGAGTATAGACCCCTGATCGGCCTCCTTGTTCTAATCCTGCCATGTTCCCATTTTCCCTGCAGATTGTATAGTTTCCCATATGCCACACCCAAATGCTCTTTCCACGAGAGGGGCGTGTCACTCCAATTCACCCTCAGGAGGGAGCTCAGATGGTTTAGATATCCAACCAAGATGCCCCACATTGCAGTTTGCCTAGATGTCCATTGTGCCCACCCTTCTGAGACTCGCTGTTTAAGATTATTACTTCAGCTCCCAGTAGATAGTAAGAAGGCTTCTTTTTTTTTTTTTTTTTTTATTTGACAGAGAGAAAGACAGCCAGAGAGGGAACACAAGCAGGGGGAGTGGGAGAGGGAGAAGCAGGCCTCCCGCGGAGCAGGGAGCCCGACGCGGGGCTCAATCCCAGGACCCTGGGATCATGACCTGAGCCAAAGGCAGACGCTGAACGACTGAGCTTCTTCCCCCACTTGCAGCCAGGTGACCGGAACGACAGCCTCCCTTTGTGTTAAGACAACAGAACTGGGCATCATCTTGCCCCACCTGCCCTCAGACCCAGACTTCTAGGTAGCAGCTCTGGTCTCTTGTCAGTGAAGTTGTGTCACCCACCTGATGCCTCATAGTTCCACTGAATTCCACCCCCTGATGGGTTAATATGATCAACCCATCAATAAGGAATGACCTGACAAAGAAGCAAGATTACAAAAGCAAGATAATGGTCAAATATAGATGTTTTGCAGTTCATTTATTAGAAAACACCCACATCCCCTTAAGGTCAGGGCTCCTGAGCATCACATGAGAAACCAAGGTCCAAGGGTAGAACCACCTTTGACATCTTAGCCCTTGGATTCTGGCAGCTTACACGCCTAAACTCAGACAGTGTGAAGGTGCTTGAAGACAATGGGATGGGAACATGGAGGGCATTCTAAGGAACCTAAAATCCTTCCCCTAAGTACAGGTGTGGGGAACGGTGTCTGGCTGTCCCACATTCTGTTTTCACGAGTACCACCAAACTTTTGACCTTTCTGTATTAACTCTTCTTTTTATAGGATATAATCCAGGTCCTTCCTGAGTTCCAGCTTTATATAAACAAGCTCGACGATAAGCTGGAATACTTGAGAAGACTTACTGAAAAGAAAAACAGGAAAGAAAAACACTACAGGCGGCGAGCTTGAAGAGGGGGGTATACAGGACAAGGTGGTCCTCCCCTGAGCCCACGCCCTGCCGGGCTCCCCCTGGGTCCCCCCGGCTCTGAGAAATCCCATGTCGGAATGGCAGCCTCCCCGAGGCTTCTGTTCAGTTTCTGAGTTAAGACATGGGAAACTGGGGTGCCTGGGTGGCTCAGTTGTTAAGCGGCTGCCTTCGGCTCAGGTCATGATCCCAGGGTCCTGAGATCAAGCCCCGCATCGGGCTCCCTGCTCAGCGGGGAGTCTGCTTCTCCCTCTTCCACTCCCCCTGCTTGTGTTCCCTCTCTCTCTGTGTCTCTCTCTGTCAAATAAATAAATAAAATCTTAAAAAAAAAAAAAAAGACATGGGAAACCATCATCTGTGAGAGTAAATGAGGTAGTTTAAGGGTATGAGAAGGGGTTTGTTAGATGACACCAATGGGAATTGATTGGAATAGAAATTTAAAGGAAATGGAGCCCTAAGTATCTTCCTATCAAATCATGCATGTTGATCTGTGTAAATTACAAAGCAGCCCGGCCTGCCCTGTGGGATTTAGGTGTAATAAAGTGTCTTTGGGAATTTGTCATTTGAAAATTTCTCTTTTCTCTTCCTAGTACCACTTTGAATATGCCTTCTTTGCCATCCCCCCAGGGACACCGGGGATGGGACAGAGATCAAGGTGGGAGGGGTTCCAGGACCAAGTTTAGGAAAAAGGAGAGAGTCTTACCTTGGGAACTTGTCGGTGGGAAGGTCTGGAGCCCTGGCCAGGCTGTGTGAGCAAAGGAAAAATAGAGGAGCAGGATTGCGGGCTCCCAGGAGAGATGGGGAGGAGAGGAGAGAGGACCTCCCTGCAGATCTCATCCTCATCAGTCAGATGGTGGCTGGGCCTTGTCAGTAGAGCTGGGTTCAAGGGCCAGTCCTACTGCTCACTGTCATAATCGCTTACTGCGATAATCACCGAGGTTTGGGTACACTGATGCGTGTTTTTGACTGAGGCCCCTTTCTCACCACTCGCTCTTCGACTCCCCCGTCTCCGGCCCAGCCCCCCCGTTCTTCCCAGTTCCTTTGTCCGCTCTCCTTACTGGCTTTGTTCCCGCACACACTGTCGTCCATCACCTCTGACTTCCTTTACCCCTCAGGGCGGTCCTCAGCGGAGCTGCATTTCCCCCAGTTTACTGAAACAGAAGCCAAGATGCAGGACAGCCCGGTGACTCGCCCACCATCTCCCGGGCAAAAGATGGTAGAGCCAGGATCTGAAGCCTGGTCTTTTGTATCCAAGTTGTTTCAGCTACAGAAGGCTTCCCTTTCATTTATCCAAGCGTCGTAAAGCACCTGCCACGTGCCAGGCGTGGGGCTGAGGACCGGGCCACAGAGATGGGGCGGGAGGGATGGTTTCCACACTGGGAGCTCAAGTCCTGTGAGCAGGACAGACATTGAGCTAACCCATCGCCCTCTCCCCAGAGAACAACGGTTTGTGACCTCCGCAGAGGGGCTGGGGCTTGGCCTGGGTTGAAGAAGTTCACCTGGGGAGCCCAGCGGGAAGGCGAGGGGCGCCGCAAGCGGGGTGGGGGGGTTGGGGGCGTGGTAGCTTGTGCTGAAGGGAGAACACACGGGAGGGAGAGTTTGGTGCTGCTAGGGAAAGGGGGTACGGGGGAGGCCAGGCATACCAGCACCTCTGTGCCACTGAGGTGTTTTGGATCTTCTCCTGTGGGTGATGATGGGCGGCTGCTGCAGGATGGTCAGCAAGGAAATGGCATTCGCTGTGCTAAGATTCATCCTTTCCACCAGCAACGAGGGTCCGCGATGAACTGCAGTGGAGACAGTGAACAGCACAGCCCAGGGGTTTACGTAAACAAGCGAACGAGAGACATAAACAGGATTACACATGCGTGTCTGTGCTCAGAAACAAGGGGAAAATGAACCAAAAATTAATTATAATGGTTACCTAAAAGGGGAGGCAGAAGAAGAGTGGAGGATGGGGCTGGAAGTTGGGCTTTTCTGAGCGCACCCTGTTCCGTAGTTTTAACTTTGGAAACTTCCTTTTTACATCCTTTTTTTTTAAAAAAAGATTTTATTTATTCATTTGAGACACAGAGATACAGAGAGAGAGCATGAGCAGGGGGAGAGGCAGAGGGAGAGGGAGAAGCAGGCTCCTTGCTGAGCAGGGAGCCTGATGTGGGGCTCGATCCCAGGACCCTGGGATCATGACCTGAGCCGAAGGCAGACGCACAACCATCTGAGCCACCCAGGCGGCCCCCGTTTTACATCCTTATAAAACAAAATTAAATTTTAAAGATCTCTTTAAATCCCTAAAACTTAACTTAAAATGTGAAAACATAGTAAAATGACCAAACGGTTGTATGTTGAGTTGGTAGCATCACAGAGAAGAATTTTTTCCAAGTTATTTTAATTTACTAATTTTATTTTTTAAAAGACTTTATTCATTTATCTGAGAGAGGGGGAGCACGAGAGGCAGGAGGGTCAGAGGGAGAAGCAGATTCCCCACTGAGCACAGAGCCCAGTGTGGGGCTCTACCCCAGGACGCTGACATCATGCCCTGAGCCAAAGCCAGACACTTAACCAGCTGAGCCACCCAGGCGCCCCTAATTTATTTTTTTAAAGATTTTATTTTTTAAGTAATCTCTACACCCAACTTGGGCTCCAACGTATAACCCCAAGATCAAGAGTTGCATGATCTACCGACTGAGCCAGCCAGGCTCCCATCCAAGTTATTTATTTATTTATTTTAAAGATTTTACTTTTTAAGCATTCTCTACATCTAATGTGGGGCTTGAACTCATGACCCCAAGATCAAGAGTTGCATGCTCCACCGACTGAACCAGCCAGGCGCCCCATCCAAGTTACCTTTAAACATGGTGATTTTACTGTCACACCTAGTGGGGTAGGTATGTCCTAAGGACAAGAAGAACTGCAAAGAAATCCAAACAGTACTCAGGAACCTTGTCAGTATCTGGTCGGTATTAGTATTGTTACTTTGAAGCTGTGTGTGCCCAGGTGTGTGTAATTGCTACACTATGTTACTATATGGACATAATTATGTTTATGCCCTCAGTAACAAGATTTTCAGGATAATATAACAGAGATCCAAATATAAAAGCAAAAAAGCTAAGTAAAAACCCTATAATTGTAAATTCGAATTGGAAATGTCAGCGTGACTTGATAAATTCTGTTTTCTAAGGGGCATGTATTTTATAGCCTTATGTAGTTCTCAGGCCTGGAAACAACCATGAGGAGCAACAATGGACACCTTGTGCCTGGACAGGGGTCTCTCTCTTTCCCACCAGGAGGAACCAGGGCTCGCTGGAGAGATGCCGAGTCCAGATCTGGGGCAAGGATATACAGGATGGGTCCGGGATATCTTTTTAGGCCAGAAAACAAGAAATTTACCTAAGACTACTGGAGTCATGCCCAAAAGACACAGGGGCCATCTGGAATGGGCTCTTGGGAAAACCTAAGCGTCAAAAAAATATATATATCAGAGAAAGAATAAAACTGCAGTGGATCAAAACATATCAAATATATAGAAAATTCATGAGCTCATATGGTGCTAAAACAATGAAAGAAAACTCATTGGTCAACTTTGGAGGTTGCTAGGGGAACAATTTATTATTCTGTAAATTGAAAATAGAGGGGAAGAAGCAAGTGTTTGTCCTGCCTTTTCTGTCCAAATTGTATTTTGGAGAAATCTCATAGTGGGTCCTAGGCTGCTGTAGCCAATGACCACAAACTGCCTGGCTTAAAAGAACAAAAATGTTTTTTTTTTTTTCCACAGTTCTGGAAACCATAAATACGAAATCAAGGTATTGGCCGGGCCAAGGTCCCCCCAGGCCTCTAGGAGAGAGACCTTCCCTGTTTCTGCCAACTCTGATGCCTCCAGGCTCTTCTTGCCCAGGGCTGCCTGCCTCCAATCTCTGCCTCTGTCTTCACATCACTTCTCTCTGTGTCTGTGTCCCTCGGTCTGTATCTTACAACACTTGTCGTCGGTTCTAGGGCCTACCCGACAATCCAGGATGATCTCATCTCAGAATCCCTCATTAAAATAAAATTAAAAATCCTTAATGACATCTGCAAAGATCCCTTTTTTTCAAATAAGGTCACATTCACAGTTTCTGGGTGGATATATCTTTTTTGGAGGGGGCACCATTCAACCCACTACAGGTGGTGAATGGAAATTCTTCTTGGAGCAATTCCAGCTAATAAATTCAGAAGGAATCGTTTTACAACCGCAGTGGAGTGGTGGACCCAGGTGATGATCGTCATCAGCTCCTAGCACCTGTGGGTGGAAGGTTGAGAAGGTCTTTGTCCAACAGCCTGGTTGGGCCGGCCACCTTTGGAGATACTCAGCAGTTTTAACATCACTCCGCGTGAAATAAGCTAACATTCTGTGCCTCTTGGCATACACAGCAGTGTCAGTGAAGACGAGCTGCAAAAGAGAATTTTTTTTTTGAGCCTGAATCTAATTAAGCCTGTAGCTATGAGCAGTTTTCGGAAAATGCAGGGGATAGAAGACCAGGTGTTCACCGGGAAGACAAAGGCTCCATGAAGACTGTCCTTCCCAAGAAACTATTCCAAATACCTGAGAAGAGTAGCTGGCGTCTAAAGGTGCTCAATGACAATGTGCTGAATGAATGAATCTAGACCACAGAAAAAATTCCTAAAACTCAGCAAGAAAAGGACTAGCGACCTACAAGAAAAATCATAAACAGGGAGAAGCTGACAATTTACAGGGGAGGAAATGGGAATGCCAATACATGCGTGAAAAGGCTCATTCTCACTAGTAACGAAGGTAATGGAAAGGAAAACCACAATAAGCTGCCGTTTCACACCCCCAGCCTGGCACAAACTTCCAAAAGTCTGACAATGTCAAGAACTGCTGAAGACGAGGGGCCACCTTCATCATCAGGCCTTCCAGGGGCTCCTGGGGGAGTGGAGGCCTTGGGCCTGGGGGAGACCCCTTGGAGGCACCAGAAATGAAAGGGAGAGACCAGGCAGTGACCCCGGGAGGGGCTGTCCACCCTGCAACACTTGCAGGTAAAATTCTTCTATTGAAGTTTTTATTTTTTATTATTATTATATTCTTCTATTAAAGTTTTTAAACACCTTAGTACGTTTCAGCCCATTAGCTTGCTCAGTTTTGATGTAGCAAGAAATTGGGAATTTTGCAAATGTCTAACCCTAAAGAATTCATCTGAAGACCAGGCGGGCATGACATTTGTGTGTGTGTGTACAAAGAGATCCGGAAGTTTCCACACCAAGGATTTAAATCATAGAGTCTTCTTGGGTGGGTTAGAGTATGACATTTTCCTGCCTCATGAACAAGCATTACCTCTGTAATGAGGGGGAAAAAAAACACACACACACAACAAAAGAAAGAAGGAAAAATCTGGAATCTTCTAGCAGGACCAATTTTTCCACTTTTCTGTAGTCAATTAAATTCTGTGTTAATTGTATTGAAAGGTTGAAAATGAAAGTTTTTAATCATCCACTGACATTTTTACAACTTCTCTGGAAACTATAAATATTATTGTCTAATTGTGTTACTGCTTTACTGTTAATTTATGATCCCAGCTGTTCACTGTTGCAAACAACACACAGCAGGAATCTGGCTGAATTTAGTTTAAAAACGAAAACAACAAAAACACCCACAAAAAAAACTTAAAAGGCTTCAGGCGGTATTAATTTCAGGCTGATGTTGTTTTCCCTCAGAGTGTCCTTGTGAACACTTTTTGAAGTAAATTGCTGGGGTCAGTTTTGTTTCCCCTGCGCTTTCTCCCCTGGCAGCGGCAGAAGGTCCCAGGGCACATCCTATCCCGGGGACAGCACAGAGAATCTGCTCCTCAAACAGCCTCAAAACCAGCTTCACGCTGTCACTGGAAAAAAGCCACGGGCGGCCGCCCCCTCGGGGCCAGACAGGGCCGGTCTGGGAGCAGAAGCGGGAAGACCCCCTGGCAGGCCCTGAATCCCAATCCCAATGTTCCAGGATGGGGTTTCTGTGCCTTCAAGGTCCTCGAGAGCAGTCGTGAGTAACACAACATCCCTCAGATACCGCCTGTTAGCAGTTCCAGGGTGCTCTCAGCCGGGTGTTTCTCTCGCCAGTGCCAGAACTTTCCACAAGGCCTTCTGTGTTGCTGCCATTTTGTGAAAACTAAGGAAAGCAAAGGTTTTGCTGCAGACGGATGGGAGGGCTGAGCAGGCGGGCTGGGTTTGCAGATGAGGTGTTGCCCCCCAGTGGCCACTCTGAGGATGGCGGGGCCCCTGGGAGAGCTTTCCTCCCATTTTTCACATTGGTAAACTGAGGTACGGGGAACCCATAAAGGTCTCGGGGTAAGTTACAACCACCACAGCGCATGTCCCTGAACTCCTGTTCTTTCTCACACAGGAAGGCGGACGTGGGATTGCCCTGGGCTGTGGTCCCTCCTGCCTCCACTGTTTTCTGAATATCAAAGCACCTTCACACCTGGCTGACAGATGCCCAGTTCTTCCTATCCACCCTCTTGTCACCACAGGCTGCCTCCCCCCAGCTGAAAGGGACAAGTCGGCCATTCAGATGCCCCTCTAGAGCCCCGCTGCCATCTGAGTGCCTAGGCCATTCAGAGGGAGCCCGCACGGGCAACCCCGGGCCTCCCACAAGTGGATGCTCGGGTTGCAGACACCAGGTCCTTCCAGGGACAGCTGCTGTGCAGAGAGAGGGAGGGTCAGTGTGGCTGAGGGTGGTGGGCAATGAGCTGCTGGTGACGGCTGGATGCCCGCCCTCGGCTTCCACAGAAATTCCCCACAAGGCCTCCATGGAGCCGATTTTATTGCATTTCTGATCCTCACAAACACACACTTTCCAACGAGGACACAACACAGCCTTCATTTTGTTTGCGCCTCAGAAACAACCATGGAGGCTGGAGGGCCTGGTTAGGAAACTGAGACCAGAGAGTGTGCTCTGACACACAGCCTCTTAGTGGACAAGTGGGAACGCAACTCCAAGTCCTGTGTTCCAGCCACTTTCTCGCTGACGCTTCGGCCCCCTGGGACTGGCCTAGGGAACAAGTCAGCAAGAAGAAGAGGGTGCATTGGGGTGCATACCAGCAGCCTCACCAAAGGAGACCCCTTGGGCTGAGTTTTTGGGTGTTGGGACCTGAGCATCTTCCGAACTCGTGTTAGATGTTCCATTGGCCCCTACTCCAGAGTTCCCTGCCCCGCACCTGGCAGCCTAACAGACGCCTGTGGATGCAAGCTGAGGGGAGAGGGATCCCCAGCCAATCCAGGGTGGGCCACTCAAATGTTGGTCTCTGTTTCAGTGCAGACATGAGAAAAGCCTACTGACGCACATTCTTCTTTTTTTTTTTTTTAAGATTTTATTTCTAAGTGATCTCTACACCCAATGTGGGGCTCAAATCCACAACTCTGAGATCAAGAGTTGCATGATCTACCGACAGCCAGCCAGGCGCCCCTGATGCCCACCCGTCCTAGAAGCAGACAGAGATGGACAAACAGAGCCCTGGACCAGGAAAGTAAAAATCCAGATGGGACCGCTAGCCCTTGTCAAGGATAAAAGGCCCCACGTTCATGGAAGGGGCATCTGAGGCAGTGCCCCACTGCCCATGCTCAAGAACAAGGGCACCATATGTTCTGCTCACTCTGTCCGCCAAACCCAGTCCACCTGGACCTCTCCACATTTAAGAACAAGGAACAGAGGTGCAAGGACATCAAGCAACTTGATCCAGGTGCCTCGGGTATGAAACAGCAAAGCAAGATCTAGAACCTAGGTCTTCTGTTTCTCAGGCCAGTGATCTCTCTACTACATTTCCCACCTGAGTGGGCCTCGTAGGGCTCCTGTCACAAGTTCACCATCAGAGATTAAAAATCCCTTATGGTCAGGGTGCCTGACTCTCTTGATTTCAGCTCAGATCTTGATCTCAGGGTTGTGAGTTTAAAAAAAAAATCCGGGGCGCCTGGGTGGCTCAGTCGGTTAAGCGACTGCCTTCGGCTCAGGTCATGATCCTGGAGTCCCGGGATCGAGTCCCGAGTCAAGCTCCCTGCTCATCGGGGAGTCTGTTTCTCTCTCTGCCTCTGCCCCTCCCCCTGCTCGTGCTCTCTCGCTCACTCATTCTCTCAAATAAATAAATAAAACCTTTAAAAAAATCCTCTATGGTCAACAAGCTTCTCTTTGAAAACGAAAACATTACAGGGCAAGCTAATAGAGTAGGTCTAAATCTCTAGCTGGCAGTGAAATATTGCTCTGATTGGCTTTGTTCTTTAGGGAACTATTTTATATAAGACTGTTTTCAGAGACAGCAAATCCAGATCAAACAGGTTTTAGCAGCAAAGGAAGTCTATTGGTTTACCTAACTGGAAAATTCAGGTGAGGTCTGGCTTCGAGCAGAGCTGATCCCAGTGCTCACACCATGTCATCAGCGTGGAGCTCATTGTCCCTCAGCTCTGCTCTGCCCTCTGCGGGTCTTGTTCTCACGTAAGCCTTCCCCCCCAGGGTGGGTCCCAGCAGCTGCAGGATTCCCTCCTCTCAGCTCCACAGCCAAGGGGGAGACCTGGAATAGAGATCCCCATCCAAAGTGGGACCCTGGAGAGAAGATCTTCAGCAAAAGGGAGAGCAGGAAAGAAGTCCACCCAGTAACAGGAAATGGCGAGGAAACCTGACGGTCCAGGTCTCAGACACTGGGGGAGGGGTAAAAACATAGGCCTTAGGGGGGCACCTGGGTGGCTCAGTCGTTAAGCGTCTGCCTTCGGCTCAGGTCATGATCCCAGGGTCCTGGGATCAAGCCCTGCATCGGGCTCCCTGCTCAGTGGGAAACCTGCTTCTCCCTCTCCCACTCCCCCTGCTTATGTTTCCTCTCTCTCTGTGTCTCTGTCAAATAAAGAAATAAAATCTTTAAAAACAAAACAAACAAAAAAAACGTAGGCCTTGGCATTCCAGAAGCACAGGCCAGCCCTCTGCTGGCTTTAGGGTTCAAATGCACATGATGTGCATGTTAAAAGAATACAAAAATAAAAACAACAGGGAAGAAAAAAGTAAACCAAAAGTTTAACAACTTCAGGTGACTGACAGGAACAAACACAAAAATATTTTGGGCATAATTGCAGATATTTAATAATGACTGGGAATCTTAGGTGACATTAAGTTCTTTTGAATTTTGGCATATGAAATAAAGGTATTGTATAAAAACAAGGCTTTATTTTTTTTTTAAGATTTATTTGTTTATTTGGAGGGGGAGGGGCAGAGGGAGAGAGAATCTCAAGCAGACTCCTTGCTCAGCACAGAGTCTGACGTGGGGCTTGATCCTACATCCCTGAGGTCATGACCTGAGCCAAAATTAATAGTCAGATCTTCAACTGACTGAGCCACCGAGGCACCCCAACAAGGCTTTATTTTTTAGAGATCCATAGTATATTTCAGGATGAAATGTCATGATGTCTGTAATTTACCCTTAAATATTTCAACAAAGAAGGAGGAGGAGGAGAGGAAATATGGCAAATTTATAAGGTTTTTTTGTTTTTTTGTTTTTAAGAATTATTCCTGAGGGGGGGAAAGGGTCATTACAAGGACGTGTCTAGGAGTCGTAGGTGTTTAGAGCCTTTCTAGACTGAGAACAGGAACAGAGACAGCAGGGGAACAAGAAATGGGGCCCGGGACCCTCATGGTTGGTCACATCCTGTCCCCTTACAGGAGCGAACAGGTGAATTGCAAAGTCAGGTAAATTGACAGGATCCCTGACCCCTGTTCACGCCCCATTTCCAGCCTTGGCCAGTGGTGCTGACCTGTCCCTCTCAGAAAGCAAAGCACTCAAGTCCTTCCTTCCCTGGTGACCCCGAGACAGGGCCAGGGTGCTGGCACCCACCAGTCCATGTAGGTACAGACCCTGCATCACCCAAGAAAAGGCTTTCACTCTGAGGCTCCCGTCCGGAGGATGGGAATGATCAGTGGGGCTCCCTTTCCACCAGGACATGGCCTGGGGGCAGACTCTGGGGACAGAAGGTGGCTGAGATGGCAGGTTCCCTTGGACCTGAATGACAAAGGAGGGTGTGATGTCTGCGCCCACCCTCACTGAGATGCCGAGCAGGGGTCTAGGACGGGACCAAGGGACGGGGGCCATACAGAGGTGGGGACGAAGGGCTGGGCTCCGAGCAGGAAGGCTGGGGACCCATGTGGGAAGGACATCCAGCTGGGGGAAGCTGCCTGTTCTCACTCACACTGAATACGCACACACTTGGGGTCACCCACTGCGAGCAGTACTCTGCAAGCTGACTGAGTTGGCTTCCCCCGAAGCAGAGCCTGATCGAGGATTCCAGGGCAAGTCTGTCATTTGGAAAGGGAAAGAAAATCAGCAGGTGCCGCTGCTTCATCCCCCAGAGTTGCGCAAATGTGTAGAACACCCTCGGACTGATCCCACCGGAGGGATGAGGGCACCCCGGGGCGTCTGCACATCAACTCCACCGGCCAGTGGGGGGCAGGGCTGCTGCAGGGGCAGCCACCCCCAGCTCTCGTGGGTCACCCTGGGCTCAGAAGAACGTCTTCGGGGAAAGAGGAGAGCAGAGCCAGTCATACAGAGTCTCAGCCAAGAAGCCCCCAACCCCGGACACGGACATGGTCAATCTTCTCAACAATACTACAAGGTAGATACAAATCCTATTATTATCCCAATTTTTCAGATTGGAAAATGAGGCAGAGAAGTAACTTACCCGAGTGGCAGAGCCGGGATTCAAAGCCATGCTGTCTGGCTCCAGAGCCCGGCTGGAATGGGCTGGGCTGTGTTTAGAGGTGGTGAATTGCCCATCAATGAAGGCATTCAAGCAGAGGCCTGATGACAACGGTAGGAATGTTGAACAAGGGATTCCTACCAGAGACAGGGACTAAGAGACAAAGTCCCTTTCAGTATTGAAATCCATGATCTTTTGAATGGGTAGGGCTGCGGAGAGGCTAAAACGCCCCCCACCGCTTGAGTGGGCTCTGAGAGTCCCACGAATACACCCCTGCCCCCTCGAGTTCACACAGGACTCGCCGGGCAATTAACTGACATGCGGGCTGGTTTTCTAGCGGACTAGCCACCAAGCAGGCAGTGAGGGCCTGCCTGGGAGACACCTGGCCCCACACCTGGGGGACAGCACATCAGAGCCCAAACCCTGCTAGCTGTGCAATCAGCCAGCCCGGAGGCCTCTCCCCCAAGCCCTTCCTGATGCCCGTGGGCCCTGTTAGCCTCAGGGAAGCTCAGGGCAGTCCAGACCCCACGTGGACAAGGCTGGCTCCACTGCCCCTCCTGGGCTCAGGGTCCTCACCTGTAAGATGAGGACAGTGATGAGACCATCACCGAGGTCCCAAGTTCGGGGACTGCGGGGTTCAGGCAAGGGAGTGGCGGCCAAGCTTGGGCTTCTAGAACAGCTAAGTCACTCTTGGTCAAGCCGAGAACGGCACGGTCCGAATTACAAGGAAGCCTGAGTTGTGGGATCCTTACAATATGCTGTATGTTTTCTTCATTCAAGTACACAACATATGGCAGATTGTTAATCAAGTAGTTAGAACCCCGAGATCTCGGCTCACGCCCTTCCTTCTGGGAACCTTGACCTAGGCATCCTTCTTTATCTGCAGAGTCACGTCCTTGCAGCACCTGGCTTAGGCATGAAGATTGCTGTGTTAACCGAGCAAAGTACAAAGAACTATTCTTCATTCTCACACGAAGCACGAGACGGGGGCACGTGCAGTGACTCAGTCTGAACCCCAAACCTCAGAACAACAATGCTGCCAAGGCCGCCCAGGGAGGGGCTGCGGCTGTTACAGCTTGGAGCCCCGGGTCACCTGGTTGGGAATTAAACCCGGTCAATAAGCACTTATTGAGCACCTGCTGGAAGCGCTGGGAAGGCATACGCTAAGTGCCGTCAAGCACTCTGCTCTCCAAGGCTGTGCCACCTCCATGGGGTAGCTGATGGAGGGAACGCTGTCGGTACAATGGACATGGGGAAGAAATCCCGAGAAATTCAGGGGCTTGCTTCTAGGACATGGAGTCTGTGGCCGAGTGGGGACCAGACTTTAAGCCTCTTGATTTCCAAGATCACAACCAACTCCCCATCGCAGGGACAATTGCCTAGAGACAGGTGGTTTACCAATGTGTATTTTAAAAATATTTTTATTAATCATTTCTTTTATTTAAAATGTACAAATTGATATTTGGACATATGCATACATCCATGATACCACCCCACAGTCAAGATAATGAACATTTCCATTATTCCAAAAGTTACCCCCAGGTAGCGACTGATCTGTTTTCTGTAACTTTAGATTAGTTTGCATTTTTAAGAGATTCTATTTATTTGAGAGAGAGAGAGGAGCAGAGGGAGACAGAGAGAGAGTCCCAAGCAGACTCCCTGCTGAGTGTGGAGCCTGACTCGGGGCTTGATCTCACTCACGACCTGAACTGAAATCAAGAATTGGAAGCTTAGGGCGCCTGGGTGGCTCAGTTGGTTGGGCGACTGCCTTCGGCTCAGGTCATGATCCTGGAGTCCCTGGATCGGGTCCTGCATCGGGCTCCCTGCTCAGCGGGGAGTGTGCTTCTCCCTCTGACCCTCCCCACTCTCATGTGCTCTCTCTCGTTCTCTCTCTCTCAAATAAATAAATAAATAAATCTTTAAAAAAAAAAAGAATTGGAAGCTTAACTGACTGAGCCACCAAGGTGCCCTGATTAGTTTGCATTTTCTATAATTTTACATAATTGAAGTAATACAGTATGTACTTTTTGGGGGGGGGAGGTTAGC